GTCTGTCTGTCTGTCTGTCTGTCTGTCTGTCTGTCTGTCTGTCTGTCTGTCTGTCTGTCTGTCTGTCTGTCTGTCTGTCTGTCTGTCTGTGTCGCTCTGCCTCTGTCTCTCTCTGTTTCTCTCTCTCCCCCCATTCGTCGGAGAAGGTCCAGTAGTCTACCCCAGGGCCAAGGGCTTGACCCCTGACCCCCGACGGCGGCGTGTCCAGGCCGCCCGCAGCGGCAACGCCTCCCAATCAAATCCCCCGCGAGTGTTTACGGAAGTCCCTCGCGGTCGCGTGTCCCGCCCCGCGCCCCGCCGGGCCTCGGCAGGCTCCGGACTGCCCCGGGCGCGGAGCGGAGCAGAGCGGTGCGGCTGCGCAACGGCCGGGTGAATCACTGGCGTGGGAAAGAGAAGCGCCCGGCCGTTGGCGACGCGACCTCGCTCGTGGAGATAAAGGCTGATGAGGAGGTGTCGCGCGGATACAAGGGTAGCCGACGGCGAGGGTGGCCGACGGAGCGGGTGGCCGACGGAGCGGGTGGTCGACGGCGAGGGTGGCCGAGGGAGAGGGTGGTCGACGGCGAGGGTGGCCGAGGGAGAGGGTGGCTGGCGGAGAGGGTAGCCGGAGGGCGAGGGCACCGGCACCCCCGGCCGGCCGGGCCGGCGGCGGCGGCAATGAGGGGAGCGCCTGACGAAGGACGGGTAGGCAACCCCGCCATGCAGCTCTGTGTAACAGTACGGCCTACCCCCGCAGGCGTCCATGAGGGAGCGGCGGGGAGCGGCCGTGAAGGTAAGGGTAGCTTTTAGAGAGGCTACGGAAGATGTGGTAATTTTTTATGAACACTTTTTCAGCGATCTAAGTCTGAGCTGACCAATCACCCATAAATATGTATGTCATCTACCCAATCACCTATTTAGTGGGCGTTCCGCGATCAACCGCATAGCGTCTCTGCCGTCTCTGGCATCGTTACTGGACTTGGACTCGGACCCGGACCCGGAATCGGAAGTTCAAATTCTCAATGCATCTAATATTTAAATCAATAAGTGGCATAGGTATGTTAATTTTCTGCAGCTATCGAAGCTTCGAACCTAGGTTCAAAAACTTGACACATATTTCTGTTTGCAAAATTAACAGTTTTTCTCACTTTAGTAATGTATCAGTCCATTGCGCGAGTTATGGCAACACTGCCTGCCTGTCGCGCGCCTGACGAAGGAAGGGTAGGCAACTCTGCCACGCAGCTCTGTCGAACAGTACGGCCTACGCTTGCAGGTATCCACCAGATTGTCCATTTAAAAGACAAATCAACACGTTAATAATAACAAAGAGAGATGGGTGGTGGACTGTGGGGGCTCTTCGAAAAGGTAAAGGGGCCTGGAGGTTGCTGTGCGTCATTCCATTCAAAAGCGGAGCCCAAGTGCGAATGATGGGCTGGATGCATTCGCCTCACGTAAGCGGGATGGTTCGGCGGGCTGCCAGGCAAGCGGCACAAGCCCAAGCCCATGCTCTCCCACTGCCATTGCCACGGACGCAGCAGCGGGACGCAGGAGAGGAGGATCCCGACGTCACGACTGGGGAAGCGTCACCGAACCTTTGTGTGTGGCGTCACCGTCACCGCGAGGCTCTCGCCGTGGGATTTCGTTCGAAGATCAGGAGCGATTGTCTGCAATATATTAACCGCACGGCGGCGTGTATGCCTTGGCTGAAGCGCTACAATGTCTTACTGCGGCCGCGACGGCCAGCCCTGACGTCACTCGGGGCTCGTATGAAATGTTCCTCGCTTGTACACAAGTTGGTACGTTGTACATCACACATGCCGCAACGCAACACGCCCCCGATGACTTGACGGTCTAGATTTGATGTGTCGCCCGATTACCGCTTGTATTTTTGAATTTCATTTTTAAAATGCAGATAATGACCAAAGTGGCGAAATTTCTTTCCGGCTCAAAGTTAAGCGTTTAATACAATTTTAGTACAATCAGTGTGACGTAATATACACCCCCTCCCCCCCAAAATAGTGTATTTCGGCCAAAGATAGGAAAATAACTTAGAACACAAAGGTGGGACGTAGAGTAGAGGCGGGGGAGGCTCTCGACGATTCAGGAAGGTTTATGTTAAACTAACTATTCTTCTCCCTCCTTTAGCCAAAACACACTATAAGATTGTCGCCAGCAAGTGTTAAAGCGTGTGATAAATGCGTCTTTGAGTTCGCCGAGGTAGTTGATTTGCACTCCAGAATATTGGGAATGCAATGAGTCTCAAAGTGATGATTGATGTGAGCCCGCAGACATGCCAGCTGAGTTTGCCACCAGCCCGACCACTCGGCGGCTTCTAGTGAAGCATGATGCGCGGAACAACATAAAGCACCGACTTGTCGTTCGTGTGTAGGTCCGGGGGCTTCCCGCCGCGGCCACGTGAAAAAGAGCGCCTAGGTTCCGCGCCCGGACTTGGCCCAGCGCCTGGCGGTCAGCTCAATGTTACTCGGGTGGCGCAGTACCTTCCGCGTCATCCCCTTATTCTTTCACCGATTCCAAGACTCGCGCCCGTTGCGTTTTGCCCTTGAATGCAGTTTGTCACCGTTTGTCACTCCTACGAGAGATGCAATGACTACAATACAAGTAAAGGAGTATGACCAAATACGATCCAAATAGAGCGATATTGTGAATCCAATTTGATGACTCTTGGGGGAGCGATATTAATTACATCGCTCGCTTTGAGTAACTTTCGCGACATTTTTGGTTACGAATAAGACTCATTTTGAGTCATTTTCGCAAACGTCGCCCGTTTAGAGTCGTTTCTGCGACATTTTCTGTTACAAAGAAGACTCGTGTCGAGCAATTTCGCAAAAAATCGCTCTAACAGAGCGATGAAGCCTATACGTCGCTCTACGTTTTACGGTGTAACAAACTTTTCAGTTGACACACAAAAGTCAGTTGAAAGATTTTTACCTTACACTTACATATTTTGGGAAGTCCTCACACGCATTTCTGACATACAAATTAAATTTGCTTTGGGTGTTGGCATGCGAAGCGAAGTCCTTCCCGCGGGGGCTCCAGAGGGTGCAATGGACAGTCGACGGTCCAGCCGAACAGACGTCCCGGCACCGTGCGGTGCGGACGGTAATTGGACGGGTAAGACACCGCGTCCTGGAGGCGGCTGGGCGGCCCCCGGGGGCGGCACAGGCGGGAGGAGGCGGCGCGGCGGCGGCGGCCGGCGCTCAAAGCTTAGCGTCGTATAAATATTGCGGCAAGGCGTGCGGCCGCTTAGTAGTGGAGCGGCAGCGCGGCAGACTGGCGCGTGGCGTATCGTAGCGTGGCGAGGCGGCGTGCAGTACTGGTGATCGCGGCGGAGCAGCAGTCCCGCGCGGCTTGGTGGTTCTCTCAGTGACTCTCTGGAAGTGACTTACCAGCGACAGCGCGGCGGCTCCAGCGGCAGCACCAGCGACACCTCCTCCAGGATGACGACGTCGGCCGCCTCCATGCTCTGGGCGATCCTCGCCATCGCCGTCGCCGCGACGGCGGGCTCTCCAGTCGACCCGCTGCCCTCCCTCATGCACGACACAGGTAACCCGTCGCACTGACCATTCTGACACCAGAAAGTATGTGTTCTTCAATCGAGTTGGTAACTTAAATGTTTAAGAAAGACTTTCTTCTTTAAGGGGCAATTTCCTTCTTTTAACAAACTCAAAACTACTTTGACTAATCTTAAAGGATGCAAGCAGTGGATAAGTATGCAATGCGCTCTGCCTGTAGTAGTTTTATTTTTACCCCCCCCCCCTCGCTAGAAATGGAAAAAAGGGAAAGAAAGAAAAGAAATAGAACAAAACAAGCGAAAGATAAATTTTAAAATACCAATTTGCGTGTGATGGACGAGGACTGTGGCTTCCAAGCCTTCTGCGCTCTACCTTCCTATATCCCGCGCGCTTCCTAGGCGTTGCAGCGGACTAGATGTGCAACGCGAGTGCAGCGAGTTTGATTCCGGAGTCCGGCCGTCCAGCCCGGCCCGCGGCCATAACGCCCCGTCTCTCTCGCTCTGCCGGCTCTTGCCACGTGATGCGGGGCGAGAGAGGACGCCTTGTTGCAAATGCGACCTTGCCCGAGCGGAGGGAATCACAAGACTCGTTTGACGGGTTGCTCGTATGCGTATTTAAGTTTGTCTCATCTTCCTTTTGATGAACACACTCGCGCTCGGGGCGTCTTTACTACGCGTGTTTTGTGTTGTTGTGTGAAGTGGTCGTCCGGTAAGTCACCACACAACTTGTGTGCGCGCCTGCCAAGTGCCACCCCTCCTCCTCCTGCTGCTGGCGCGCGAGAGGTTATGAATGGACTCCCCCTCCCTCCCCCAGTACCTCCTCCCTCTCCTCCTTCCCTCCCTCCCAAACTCCCTTCCCTTCCGTCCGCAGGTCCGAAACAAACCAAACTTCCTGGTCGCAATAAAGCGATAAATAACGCCACTTATTTGTTCCGCATCCCCAGCCGTGTGCAGGCCGCAAATAAAGGTGCGAGTGAGCCTCAAACATTGCCACACACACACACAAACGGGCGGGATGGGCGGGACGGGCGAGACGGGCGGGCAGAGAGAGGCAAGGCACCCGGAGCAGCCCAAGCAGGCCCAGTGCACGCCCGCGGCACGCAACGACCGGGCTGCTGGCACTGCGCAGCACGGCAGCGTGCCTCGGGCGTGCCGCGGGCGTGCCACAAGGAAATGATAACATTATGCGCGGCCACGCCACGCCACTGCGCGGCGTGCGCGGCCAGCAGAGTGGCCAGCACGACGCACGAGCCTGGCGACCCGGCGGCGTGTGCGCGCGCGAGCGTGAGCTCTGCAACGGCCTTGGCAGTGGGACCAGCCGGGACCGGGGTGAGGGA